AAAGATAAATGTTCATAAAATCCTGCGATCGATTCATAAATAAGGTGAACACAGCTTGTATCAGATCCGGAAAATGGCAGAAATGCGCACTCACCGACTGCGCATAGGAAATGCGCATATGTGTGTATCAAATCCCATAGATGTCCTTATCCTCCAGAAAGAGGTGTCATCAGTCGATCTGCTGGGCTAACAGGGCCTCCTTAGATTTGGATCAGCCAAGGTATATGTTCCTTCCAGGTGCAGGATTCCCTCCTCTGGATAAGATATGTAGCTGTGTCTGCCAACCCCTCAGTGAGGGGTAAAAAAGGGGGAAAGTACCCATAGTGTAGTATGTAAAATGTTTTATTGGTGCATGAAATCTTTAAAAATCAGGTCAGTGAACAAAATTCTGGCACATTGCCAGAACACACAGTGAGGAGTTGATAAAAGAAAATAAATTACTGACCCTAGTAATGGTTGGCCGCCAGACCTCCACGTGGTCTGGACGGCTAGATCAGGCGTCACAGGCTGTCAGTTCCTCCTGAGGCCTTTCGTGCTAAGGCACATCATCAGAGGGGATACTGACAGCTCTGTGACAGACGCCAAATGTTTAAATGCAGACCGCGGGGATTCGCGCATGCGCACCGAATCGCCGCCATTTTGCCGAAGACCACGCTACTGCGCATGCGCGCAGATCGAAGCGCCATTTTTCCATGGATATACAAAACTGTCAGCCGAGGCACATTAAGCCAGGCTGACAGCGCACAGACATCAGCGCGATTGAGCCTGGAAAAAAAGCTCTTTGTTCCCAGGGAGGTGAATGCAGTGACATCACTGAACAGGTTGTTATGGCCACCTCCCTCCTCCCAGTCAACACCCGTTCGGGTGAGAATAAAGGGAATGGAGCTACTATACCCACATTATAAAGGGGTGCTCCGAATGTTCGGGTCTCCGGCTGATAAATTATTATAAAACATATAAAAATAAATAAAATAAAACAAAGGTAAGACAGGCATCAGTATATATAGCTGAACAGCGGTTTCTCAAAAGGGGAAATCTGAAGATCTATCAAATTCTCCACCGCCGTTTGCCATCAACTGATAATTTGCATCTAGAGGCACCATTCATTTGCCAGCTTAACATAAGAAATAGCAGTAAGCGCTGCCATCCTAGCGTATAAACAAACGCTGATATGCCACTACAGAGTGGTTTAAAACAATCTCAGGGAGGTAATAGTATCAATAACACATCCCCTATTTGGTGATTCAACACCAGAACAGTGAGTTATATGGATGACATGGTATAGGTTCATAGCATATGTAGGTACTCCAGGTGCAAAATGGATAATGTCCAGTCGAAGGACTCCATAAGTCCCTACATGAGATGACCGGATACATCAAATATAAGTCATTCTCAATTATAACAACATAGCAAATTGACAAAATAATATAAATGAATAGGATAGCTAAAAATATCATAAAACACATAAAATCTGTTTAGGGATATTGTATAGTGTATACCATATCCCGCTCTTGTTTAATTTTGCATTAGTAAACACCATCTGCTCTACCGAAGAGATATACCCGATTGTGTATAGTGCATATTATGCACAGTCACTCTGCCACATAGGGATATATTGTGTGCCATTTATGGTGAGAAATGATCTCACAGAAATAATGGTAATATCCAATCCTTTATATGATAATTAGTCTTGAAACATGATAGGTATGTGGGAGAAGGTACCCTTAATAAATCCTTGGCAGATATGGGTGTTTAAATGCAGTAGTAAATAACGCTAATGTGATACAGATAAGAGTTACAACCCACCAATGTGGGGAAGAGGATAGATATATACATAGAACTAAAAAATTCCCTATGGGATAATTAAAAGATGTTATTTCCATAATTGAATAAAAATAACTCTAAAACTGAATAGGATAACTGAATTGAGTAGGGTAGCTAAAATGAATAATAGCTTATAATAAATGAAAAGGTTGAAATGGAGGTATAAGATCTATATTCGTCAGTCTAATGATGGTATACTCTGTAAAAATTGCAAAGCAATAGTGCAAGAGGGGTTTGTGCAAAACAGCCTATTGATGGGTGTCCATGATGCTAATTATTCATATATAACAATTAATATCGATTTCGATATTATGTCCTTTGGGATGTAAAGTATCTAGTTCAAACACCCATTTTGTTTCGGCTTGTGATACAGCCCTAGTTTTATTTAGGCCTCTCCAATATGGTGTTATTACCTCAATTCCCACAAATTTGAGGGAAGAGGGATCGCAATTATGAAAACGCCTATAATGATTTGAGAGCGAGTGCTCTCTATAGCCCTTCTTGATGTTGGCTACATGTTCTCTCAATCGATCACGGAGACGTCTGGTCGTCCGCCCCACATACTGCATGTGACACGGGCATTGGAGAAGGTACACTACAAACTTGCTGTTGCAAGAAATAAATTGTTTGATAGTGTACGATTTACTGGTTCTGGAAGATGTAAAGTTGTTAATCCTGTGTTTCCTAGTTCCATTACACTTACAGATAACACATTTGTTACATGGGTAAAACCCTTTCAGTTCTTCAAAGAATGTGGTACCAGTTGGAGGGTTAATTGCATTAGGGGCTATTTGATGCCGAATTGCTGTCGCTTTCCGATAGATGACCTCGGGCTTGTCTGGTAAAATTTTTGATAATATGGGATCTAATTTCAGTAAGTCCCAATTCTTCTTTATAATTCCCCCAATCTGTCTGAATGCGTGGAGAATGTCGTGATAAAGGGACAGACCCTCGTTTTGACTGGTCTAGATTTGTTAGATAACATAATGTTCCTATCATATTGAGCAACCATTTGGATTGTATTATCAAGGATGTCCTCCTTGTAGCCCTTTTCAAGAAACCTTTCTTTTAATACAGATGCTTGATCAAAGTAAGTGTTCTGATCTGAACAGTTGCGTCGAATGCGCATAAATTGGCCTTTCGGAATGTTATTAAGCCAATTAGGGTGGTGACAGCTACTGGTTGGAATGTAGCTATGCCTGTCAGTAGTCTTAAAGAATGATTTCGTTGCAATTTTACCATTAAGGTTGATCAGTGTAAGGTCTAAAAAATTTATTCCATTCCATCTCAGACCATCGAAAGGTTGAAGACAGAATCTGACTATTATGTGAGTAAGGCCTCCCAGGGCGTGTTTCACTTTCATCTGGGGCTCCAGATGATATTGAGCTGACTATATGTGAACGTAAGACTGATATTGAGATCTTGTTATTATTGAGGCTAGTGAAGAAATTAACAAGTGATTCTTCCTCCAATAACTCCAAGATATAACATTTTTGTATTGACGGTAAAGTACTAAAGTTCGTGAGGTAAAAATCAACCGCCTCCATACCATCTGCATGGTTGATGTTGGTGTAGAGTGATGCTACATCAGCAGTCACCAGATAGGTGCTGGATGACGTGTCTAAGGTGCTACAGATGTTGATGCCAATATTCCCTCCCAGTCTGTCTTAGAGAGCAGCACTCAGCCTTAGAAAATTAGCTCTTAAAGTTGTGCGTTTTTATTTTTCCCATATGTGCTTGCTGTTTACAGCTGACAATAAATGATATCCTGTTATTGTCACTGCTACCCAGGTGTTCTTTTATATGGACATTTGTAATAAGCTCTGCATGGCTTGAGATTACCAGGTCCAGCAGAGCATCATTCCTAGTAGGGGACTCTATGAACTGTACCATAAAATTGTCCTGTAGTAGGTTTATACATTTTTGTCAGTTTCTGGGTAGTTAAAATCCCCCATTATTATCACAGTCCCAGCCCTTTCGATCTGTTCAAGGAGCTGAGTCTCCACCTCCTCATTAACACTGGGAGGCCTATAACAAACTCCAATGATTACCTTTGTAGTATGCATCCCCATGTGCAGCTCCACCCATGCTTCAGCCTCATCACACTCTCCATCAACTATGTCCTCTTTCACACTCGCTCTGAGATCACTTCTCACATAGAGACAGACACCACCACCCCCTTCCTTTTTGCCGTGTCTCTCCAAAAGAGAACATAGTCAGGAATATTAATGGCCCAGTCATGTGAAGAATGAAGCCAAGATTCAGCAATAACAATTAAATCATAGTTCTTTTCATGCACCAAAACTTTCAACTCTATTTTGCTTGACAGACTTGAACAAACATTAGTGAACAAACACTTTAAATTCATGGACACCTTTTGCACACGTATTGGATTGGAACGGTATGGAACCATCGAGCGTTGTGAAGTCAAAACCCCAAAGCTTTGATGTAACAACACTCGATGGTTCCATACTGACACCAGCTGGTACAATTAGGATTTTCATCACTGCCAAAACTCAGGAGGATATTTTTTGCATAAAGCGGTTTATATACAGATATCATGTGAGTTCACTACCTTTTATTAGTAAAATGTTATCTAAGGATAAAACACTATGATCTGCTTATTCCTTTATATAAACCACTGTGGGAGGAGAGCGTATTGATGAAGTGAAGGGGATCCCATTCAGCAGGATATCATCCCATCCACATTTGGTCCAATTAAAAGGGACACAAGTGTTATATGACCTCTCTTAACGGTTTGGTCATATTTTTGATATGAGAGCACAACCGGTGGGGTGCACACATCTTAAAGTTATTTCTCACAAAAGGTGAATTAAGAAGCACTGAATTCATTTATTTCAAGTGAACACGTATTTCTGAAGAAGTATATATAGAAAAATTTTTTGCTATGCATATGGGCACTGTTTTTTTATAGCAGATGTTTATAGCCAATATATTTTATTTTTTATTGCAAAAATTGTCAATAGGAGCACATGTGTATATATAGGTGAATATATGATTTGATAATATTGTTAACAAGTGGAGCGCAGCACATTTTGGCATTTATTACATATGGTAAACATGCAGTTTTCCACTCATTGTTCAAAAATTACCCACGTGTCTAGTCACAATAGCTATGGAATGACAGACAGAAAGTTCCCTTGAAAAGTATAGTTTCACTGTTCAGTGGAGTGTTGTCCTGAAACCTCTCCGACTGTGCTCATAAAGTAGTCAGAGAACAGGTCCCGGATTCTATGCACATACAAAGGAGCACGTACAGGCTTAAAGTCCACTTGTATGAGGTGATCTTTCACAATTTCATCATCAGTATGCCCTTCTTTCTGGTGAACATAATTGTGAAGGATGCAACAAGCTTGTACAACAGTGGCTGCTGTATCCACATTCAGCTGCATTGTGCTGTTTAAAACTCGCCATTTATTTGATAGAATATTGAAGGCACACTCCACCATACGTCTCGCTTTGCCTAGTCTGTAACCAAAAACTTTTTTTTTCTTAGTAAGCCCTCTCTGGGCATAAGGACAAAGAAGGTTTTCAGAAAGTCCAAATGCTTCACTAGCAACCATTACAAATGGGACAGCTGGCTCACTCTTTCCTGGCAGTGGTTGCCTTGGTGGAATGTTAAATTTTCCCTCTGCCAGTTTTCGTCCCATAGGAGAAGAGCGGAAGGACTTGGTGTCAGTAGAACTGCCAAAGACATCTATGGCCATAAAATTATAGGAACTGTCCGCTATAGCACTTAGCACTATTGAAAAATGTCTTCTGTAATTATATGCCCTTGCTTCTGACATTGGAGGCATTAGAATCCGAATCTGTTTCCCATCTAATGCCCCAATACAATTTGGAAACTGTGAAAGCTGCCAGAACAGGTCTGCATTCTCCAACCACTGCTGTTCTGTAGGCTCAGGCATCATGGAACTTTTTAGCTCTTCCCAGATGGCTTGGCATGTTTCTTTTAAAATCTTCCCTATTGTTGTAGTGCCCATCAAGAAAAGAACACGGAGGGAAGCAAACGACTCACCAGTGGCAAGATACCTAATTTGGAAATAAAAAAATAAATAAATAATAATGGACTTTCAATCTGTGAACATAATAATCTACATAAGGAACATGCAGTGAGAAAATTATAAAATTCATGCAGTGATTTTCACATTCTCTCTATCTCTGTTTTGTTAATCTTGTCATCAATTATGGTAACAATGAATTAATTCATGTAATGTAATGAATGTAAACTTGAGAAAAAAAATTATTTCAAATTATTTAAACAAGAATAAAAAGGACAAGAACAGTTTCTACTCAAAAATAAAATGTGAGGACTTGGCGAGCACTTACATAATAGCAGCTATTGTACCAAAAAGGAACCACAAACCTTCTCAATAGACAATAAAAATAAAAGTGCAGCGCTAAAATATAATAAGGTATATATATGTACTAAATAGTAGTAATTAGGTGATAGAAATATATACTGTGACGTAAATCAAATAGCCAATAACTGATTAAATAGCAGTCCACATAAATTATGTCAATATATGATATGCATAGAGAGAAAAAAACGTCCCATTGAAAATGCAGGATGTAATGATGATATTGGGAGTTAGATTTCAGCAATTAAATATGTGAACAGTTCCAAAATTCAAGTGCAGATCTTTATGGCCCCAATGTGAGAAAATGATAATCCGGTGACGTGCGATAAATAGTAAGATTGCAAACTCACCAGAAGCGCAATTTTAATGCGCATTAATCATATAAATCAGCCAGAGGTCCTCCTCTCTAATAGGGTACAACTTGGTGCTGGAATCACCTCCTCTGTCGGTCTGGGCATTTATGATGTCAATCAGAGGTCCCTTTTGAGGTTCCTACTCAAAATAGACATCCTTACCACCAACCTAATTGGCATATTCAGGACACAGATGCCTCTTACCATTATGAGACACCTAGAAAGAATTGGGAAACGCCTCGTAATTCTAATTATAACGCCAACCTTAATAGAAGGACCAGAATAACACATCATCATCCCCAATCTAGAAATGAAACCACACAGGGGGATTCCAGTGATCAAAGACCTAGAGAATATCATGCCGAATCACACCCACAGCCTCATTTTTTAGGGACAGGCAATACGCGCAAAAGAAGCGTAAGGTTAAAGGAAGCAGAGGAGGGAAAAAGATCAATAGATCCAAAAAAGAGAAGAACCTGATGGGCAAAGGCATTTTCAATTTAAGTGGAGTTACTCTATCACAGCAAGAACTTAATGTTCTGGATAGAGGCCTCAAGTATGCCCCAAAAGCCAGACTTAACAAGTTTCAGACCTACGTGGATAGCCACAGATTTACAAGAAAATTATCCATCAAAAAATATTTTCTCAATAAACCAGTTAATAATGAGAATAGAACAAGCAGAATTACATGCTTGAATCTCAGAAATGCCTCACTATTTAATCCTCCACCCCAGACACAATCGTACATTAATATTTTTAAAGAAATGGTATTAAAAGATGTAGAAGCCATCAAACCAAAACGCCCATGTCACGATCGCGGCTTCAGACCCCAGACCTTCTCACGAAACTCGTGACCCAAGGACTAGCGGATCTAAAACCGCGATGTCACGTGCGTAACAATGCCACACCCAGCTGCACCCTGCACAACGATTTTCCAGCTACTTGGACCACAATCAATGTACCAGCAGCTTGAACGATTGTTACTGGGTCAGGTTAATTACGCAATTAACCCTTCACACTGCCACCAGCTCCTTTTTGTACAGAGAAAGAGGAAACTCGCCGATATCAGTTATAACACTATAATGGTTGAGGTAATCATCTGTATAGCACGGTTATATAGAGGGTTAAACAAACACAGTAGCGTTCTCTTTAGAGGCAGGAATTCGTAAATTGCAATAAAACACTATAGAAACAGTTCAACACTTTCAGAAGGAAAGATTTATTACTAAAAGGTCAAAACGGGTGCAATAAAAATATTTACAGGAAAAGATGTAACTAAGATATATATATATAAATATACAGAAAAAGATGTAACTAAGATATATATATATATATATATATATATATATAGGGACCAACAGCAGAGCAAAAAGATATCAGAGAGGTGAAAGGGATAAGGTACTTGCCAAAGTCCTGGGTTAGCAGATCCAAGTTTCAGAGCGAAAGGGCATAGGTCTCCCCAGGTGGTACTATGTTAAAATGGGAGATGTCTTCAACTTACTCTTCTTAGGCCTGACAGCCTATTTGTAGTTCCCCAGCAGGGGGTGTCTCTGAAGTCAAGGACTAAAACCCCGTTTAGGTCGTGGAGGTCTGGGTGTGGACCTAAACTAGAGCCAAAATCTCGTCTAGTTCATATTTTGGCTCATAACTTTTCCTATGCACAAGTGACACTCCACCCGCGGGTAGATTATTATGCATTAGAAATTCTGAAGGACCCTCTGCACACTGGTATATACCCTTTCAAGCAAACTATGCAAAAATAGGGATATTTGGTTCACACATATTGCAATACATGTTTAAGAACTGCGTCAAAGTAATCCCTCTAAGGCCAGTCCTACTCTGCCCTGCCTACACAAGGCTACTGTGGACACAATTAGCATAGGGGAAAAGACACAATGGGACCTGAACCTTGTAGCTCTCCCCATTGTGTCTTTTCCCCTATGCTAGCATTGTGTCCACACAATCCAGTTTACTTTGACGCAGTTGGCCAGCTTAAACATGTATTGCAATATGTGTGAACCAAATATCCCTATTTGTTGCATAGTTTGCTTGAAAGGGTATATACCAGTGTGCAGAGGGTCCTTCAGAATTTCTAGAGTTAATGTGGTTACACCCCTTTAGCACCTGATGGATAAATGCATGCACTAGCTGTATGGATTTGAGCACAGGGATCTCTTGTTTGTTGTATTGTTGGGTCAGTAGCCAGACCTGAACCTTGTAGCTCTCCCCATTGTGTCTTTTCCCCTATGCTAGCATTGTGTCCACAGTAGCACTTGTGTAGGCAGTGCAGAGTAGGACTGGCCATAGAGGGATTACTTTGATGCAGTTGGCCAGCTTAAACATGTATTGCAATATGTGTGAACCAAATATCCCCTATTTGTTGCATAGTTTGCTTGAAAGGGTATATACCAGTGTGCAGAGGGTCCTTCAGAATTTCTAGAGTTAATGTGGTTTAGCACCTGATGGATAAATGCATGCACTAGCTGTATGGATTTGAGCACAGGGATCTCTTGTTTGTTGTATTGTTGGGTCAGTAGCCAGACCTGAACCTTGTAGCTCTCCCCATTGTGTCTTTTCCCTATGCTAGCATTGTGTCCACAGTAGCACTTGTGTAGGCAGGGCAGAGTAGGACTGGCCATAGAGGGATTACTTTGACGCAGTTGGCCAGCTTAAACATGTATTGCAATATGTGTGAACCAAATATCCCTATTTCTTGTTTGTTAGATTATTATGCAGACACGTCTGAGGATTGATTAGATATGAATTATGAAATTCTACACTGAATGGTTCACGACATCTATTTTTCTGCTTTTCTATGTATTCAAGACAAGGAGAGTGACCTATCAAACTGTTCGGCTCCTCTTAGCCAATCTGACGATATGTCAGGTTTTTATGTAAGTCTCTCATACTCCAAGATATGAGACATAGGGGAAAAATGGATTTTGAAAAGTTTTTAGCCGATGAATGCCTTGAACTCCTGGGAAGGCTCTGTTATTTTTTTATGATGTGTTAAATGGTACAGGTTGCTCAGACTGCTAGGCACCTTGCTCAGAGAGGTGTTTTTTAGCTCTGGGCTCCCTGCCGTGCTCTAGCCTGCCTGTGACCCTTCCAACACACATTTGTCCCTGTGGATTAACAGAGAGGAAAGGGGGAAAAATGAGGGACAACATGGAGATTCTTAACAAAATGGAGGACTGCGTCAGTCTTTGGTGCACACGTTTACCACAGCCCATACAACCCAAGAGGCATCGAAATAGGATTGGACTCCCTACTGAAGAACAAGGACTTAGTCATTAGGCCAGCAGACAAGGGAGGGGGCGTAGTAGTTTTAAATAAAACCGACTACATGGCTGAGGTCCAAAGGATTCTCGATAAGGATACATGTTCAATTTTACCAAGGAATCCCCTTATCCCTTATAAACGCTCCCTTTAAGAGCCTGATTGCTAAGGGTTATGAGAATGTTATAAATAAAAAAGAAAGTTCCTCTTTCCTAAGGCCCCTAAGCTCCCCGTTTTGCATTGTTTGCCCAAAGTTTGCAAGAACCCAGTGCAACCACCAGGGAGGCCTATTGTTAGTGTCATAGGGTCTCTATGCTCTAGGATCGGGGAGTACATAGATAACTTTCTGCAGCCCCTGGTCCTTACCACTACTTCATATATTAAAGATACCAAACAAGTATTAAACGAAATTAAATCTTTAAATTAGAACCAGGAGCTCTTAACTTTTTTAGTAACGGCCAATGTGGCCTCTTTGTATAGTAACATCGATCATAATGGTGGCATGATGGCAGTAAATTACTATTTGGATTTAACAGATAATATCTCTATAGCCCACAAAATGTTCATTTTAGATCTATTGGACTTCGCAATGCGAAAGAACTATTTTTGAGTCAATAAAACTTACTACATACAAACTAGAAGTGTTGCAATGGGGGCCAAGTTTGCTCCCAGCCTGGCTAATCTATTCATGGATATGAATATTCAAGATTTAATATATGCCAGGGAATGGTCCGAACTGTTATTTTTTATGTTATATAGATGATGTCTTATTTTTATGGCAAGTGGAAGAAACAGCCCTTGTCAATTTCTTTGGTACGTCGAACAATAATAATTTAAATATTCAGCTTACTTATACATATAGTACTGTTGAAATTAACTTTCTGGACAGAACGATACTGAACAAAGGAGGATACTTAACATCAGAGGCATATTTTAAGCAAACAGACAGAAACAGCTATATCCCGGTTGACAGCTGCCATCACCCTTCCTGGTTGGCGAACATCCCTAAAAGCCAGTTTATGAGGGTTAGGCGCAACTG